GGGGGGGAGGGTGAAGTGAGAGGTTGAAGAAGGAAGTGGTGGGGTGAGGGAGGACTCAAGTCAATGGGAGGCTAAGAGTGAGGTATGGGACAGAGGAGAGGGTGCCTACGGGAGAGAATGAGTGGAAAGAAGCTGAAAACATGAGGAGAGAGGGGAGGGGAGTAAGTGTTACTTGGGATTGTGAACGTCCCATTGGCTAAACGCTTAATACGTCATTGCCAAACATACAAAATAAAAATCTAATTGATGATGAGTTGTTATGGATGGGTTTTGTTTTGTTTTGTTTTTGTTCTGTTTTGTTTTTTCGTTCAGATTCTGGCAAGAGAAAAATTGGAAGGGCTGTGGAAGACAAATATAGGATGACATCATCCCATAAGAAACATCCTGGCTGATGAATGATTTCCCCAAACCAGTGTGTAGTCCAAAAACTCGGGTCACTCGAATTGAATTAATACAGTTTTACAAAAAGATGTTGATAAAGAGATACAGACGTCCCCAGTTAGCTACATAACCAGCTATTCACAATTCAGCTATGAACTTACCACTATCGTTGCAAACATCGGTGGTGGTAAAAGTAGCTGTGTCGGCTGAAACACAAAAACACGTAGGAAATTGAACTTTTGTTTGACTTTTTAAAAGTCAAGGCATGATGAGAAGAACATGTGTAATGCTGAGCCTATTTTGGTTAAAAATACGAAGCGAGTTAAATCTGTATTAGTATAAAAATGGTGATGCTGAACCCTTGTGTAATGCTTCATCCGTTTTACAGTTTTAAATGACACGTGTAAACCAAGCTAAGGCAAGATTGATTTCTACAGACACAAATGTGACGTAAAATCCTGTTAGGTGAAAGCACTCATACTTGTAGCTCTAATAGTCAGTCAAAAGCTAGGATTGAAACTGCAAATTCACAACGTCAGATACGTGATGACGGACTACATTTTTGGAAGACACAAAGAGTAAAATTGAGTTAAAATTAAAAATTACTTTTTTTTCTACAATTTTAACTGAAACAGCCAATTTGAGGAGAAATAACCCTCATATATTACACAATCCAAAATATTAAATTTATTGTAAAGGGGTTATTGGAGAGACGGTTTTGACTGAGATTGCTTATTTTGTGAGTAAAAGCTTCCCCTTCCCCTCCTCAACCCCCATAAAAAATATTTATAAGAACCGCAAAACCCAACAAGAACAACAAGAACAAAAAATAATTGACAACTCGAAATATACATGTAACATGTTGTAAAGTTAAAAGATAAAGCAGTCTGGAGCACACGCTGCACATGCCTGTTAGCTCTAGTTCCAGAGAGATCCAGTCAGTCATTTTATTCGTTTAGCTACCTATCACGTTATTCCCACATTCAGCAATAGACAAACACTCTGGCAGATATCAGTATAGGTCAGTGTTGCTAGGTCGGCTGAAACATTCGAAAGTGAAATCAGGACTAGGCGGCGCCACAGCTGGGCACAGATGAGAGGTCAGTAAAAATACTTAAAGACGAACACTTTTCCTCATTCGCTCAAAACTGAACTCATGTTCGACCAGAGAGTTAACAGTAACACTAGTAAAACTGAACAATTCTCTGGTTTGACATTTTTAAAAATGAGGCATAATGAGAAGAACATGTGCCTATTAATTTTGGTTTAAAACACGAAGCATTCTAAATCTATGTTAGTAAAAAATAAGGTGAAAATGGTATAGGTTTAACGCCCTTATCAACACTTCTAGGTTATTTAAGAGGCGGGACCTCCGAGTTTAACGTCCAGTTCCAAAAGGACTGAGCCAAATGGAAAATTCGTGTAAAGTGCCTTTCCCAAAGGACACAACGTCTGAGCAAGCTGAGTCTCGAACCCCCGAACCCGCAATCTCACGATTACGGGTCCAATAGCCTAACCACTAGGCCACCGACGCCACTGCGGTAAAAATATGGATGTAACGCTAAATCCGATTTACATTAAAAAGATATAAGAAAAACAAACTATGGCTAGATTTTTAAAGACACTAATTTTAAAGTAATGCTAAATCCTGCTAGGTAAAAGCATTGGCCTATATATTTAATTTTGTAATGGTAAATCCATGCTCGGGTGAAGACATGTGTAATGCCAATCTTACGAAGCGTAAGACACTAAGGAGTGAAAGGCACGAGTCCTGTTAGGTCAAAACATAACGTATAGTCATTTGCAAAATAAAGAAGGCATTGCCGGGTAAAAGGTGTGTAGTGACTAGCAGTTTTCAGTAAAAAAAACAAGAACATCTCAGAACGTGTTGGATAATGGAAAAACCGCATTAGTAAGGGAAAACCAATGCTAATGCTAAGTAAATGTGTGAGTAAAGAAAATCGCATGTAAGGTAACATGGGGGATAAAATTCCCTTACAAAGTAACAACACGAGTAATAAGAACTAATCTGAACTGAGCCTTAAAGCTCAAAGTGTATAGTGCAGTAATTCTGCCGTTCCTCCTCCACGCCTGCAAAACATGAACTAGCTACAGTCGGAATGCCAGGCAGCTCAGTGCTTTCCAAATTAGATACCTCGGGACCCTGCTCGTGTCAAGGGGCAAGACAGAGTCCCGGACATTGAGGTGCTCTAGCAGGCCAAGGTTAAAGAGCATCTACCCCATCCTGGCCAACTCTTTTAATTTTTTTTTTAATAGTAGAGGGTTTTACGGCACTCGCAACTGCATAAGGTCATATGAGCGCCAAGGGGTGGGTGTCAACAGAGAAGTCTTTACAGGGAATCAGACTTAGACTGCTCTTTTGACAGGCAGAAAAAAAGGGAGAAAGATGTGCCGAATGCATCTCTGAAGCGATGTGACATTTCACATACAGCCGTGGAAGAAGCTGCTCAAGAATGCGCTGCCTGGCGCTCCTTAATAAGATCTGGAAATGCTGAGTTCTAAGACAGAGGCATCAGATGCGATAGGTATGGACGTCAGCTGAGAAAAGACCGAGACAACCTCACCTCCCAAATCAGTGCAGCCCTACACATCCCCTGCTTTCACTGCAACAGACGTTTCCGGGCAATGATTGGGACTGATCAGCAATCACCCCCCACCCCACATCCCTAGTGATGTTGTCAAGACCATCTGCTCCAGTGAAGGACGAACATCAATAAAAACTTCAGGCTTGGGCACAGCATTGGTTATGAAAAGCCAAGACTATGCTAAATCATGAAATACAAAAATCATGTTAGGACTTGCAGAACTGAGCACATCAAAACTCGTGTGTGATTTACAGAACGAAGTAGATTAGACACACTCTGTGGCTTTACAGACTCAA